TTTTTACCTAGCGAAGAGTACACCTGCCTAGGCCATGAGCCACGAGCTTCCCTAGTTTCTGTGAATAACTGTTGAAGTAATTTTAAATATTGTACATAGAGATGACCCAAAAAGTATTGCAATGACCAATTCAAATACTAATTATAATAAAAAAATAACAAAAGGATGAGGCTTGGAAGGGTTAGAGGAAACTTTTAATAGGTGATGTAGCCATGAAAAACATGGAGACACTGTCTCAATGAGCTCATCTGTGGGCATGAAATAGAACATTTTTCTTCCTCCAAATCCTAGTTTCGTAAATATGACATATAGCAACATACACTAGAACTATTGTCATCAGCAGTGACCAAACCATTGTTAATTGTTCTCCATTGTTACGTTATTCCTTCATTCCTCAAGCTATTTGATTCAGAGTAGGTCTAGCTTCAGGCAGTCAGTTACACAACATCTTACTGGCAAGATTTCAAAGATTTATACAGATATGTCAGGAAGAACAGGCATTGCCTCCTAGTATCTGCAACCTTTGAAGACAGGGAAATGGCTGCCGTAGTATGAGCACACAAAAAGAAAACCATCTACTTTGAGAACAATTTTTTATGAAGTAGTGTATTTATTATATCTGTTCCTTACATTGTCTGCACCTGACTGTACAAAGAAGGATGAGCTTAGCACTATCCCCCCACATCCCTCCCCCCCCCAGCACCCCCCCAAAAAAATTCTCAGCTTTCTCTCTACCATGTCTCTAGGAACTTTAAGTCTGATTTGTTCTGGAACCTCCAAAGATATCAACCTCAGTTTTAACAAGCAGATGAGAATGGTATTTGTTGACACTCTGGAAGCATCTCAGTCTTATTTAAGGCAAATGATAGAAACAGTAGTTTTGGTTCTCTTTTGATTTGAGGGGTGACAAAATGATATGCAGCCTGAACAGACTGGGCCATTTCAATGGGAGGTAATCAAAACCTTATGATTTTAATACTGAGTGAACCTCAGAGTGGCTTAAGTACTTCAGAGTTCTCAAGGATCTTGTACATGCTAGGTAATGTATTCTGTAATGGAAGAGTGCTGATGGTTTTCATTATCACTCTTTGGTTTAGTAGAATTTCTTGGTTGCCTTTCAGAAGCTGAACAGTTTCACCTAATCACTTTATTTTTTTGGTTTTACCTGAAGATCCTGTACGCTAGGGCTGCACATAGAATACCCTTTCCTCTTCACAGTACCCTCTCCTCCAACATCTATTGTCTAGGAGCCAGCGATGATCCAAGCCAGTGCCTCTTTGCACACAGGTAGCAATAGTAAGTGTGAATTAGAACATCTTAAGATGGATGTCCTATAAGTGTGTTTTAACCAGACTTCATAACTGCCAACATTTCTTAGTGCATATTAATGTTGAGATCCTAGATTTTGGGGTGAAATTAATTCCTAGCCATCTAGCGAGTGTTCAGACAAAATGAATGCATTATGCACACTTCTGTACATGACTTCTCGTTTCTAAGTGCATACTCTTGAGACTTTTTCCCTATAGTAGCAAGTGTCAAAACTTCACTGAAGAGCGCATGTGATCATGAACCCCTAGTGACACCCTACTGTGTGTCTCAGAGCTGGGAAGTTTTCTTCCCCACCCCTCTTGTCCCGCCTGTTTCTAGTGCACCTTCAGGTGATTCAGGCCAAGGGAGCTTTGAGTTCTCATTCCGCAAATACAGAGTTTCCCAGCTGTAATTCTACTAGAGAATAAAACTCAGCTTACTTTTTACTTGATGGTCTCCTCAGATAACGACAGGGTATCTGAAGTTCCATCTAGTCTTGTCTATCTTGGTTGACTGCCAAATGGCATTCAGCTCAGTGCATCTAACCCCTTTATATGGCAGACACCAATATGATACTCTGAGCTTAGGTGCCAGAATTCCCTTATCAGCTGTTAAACATTTACGTTTTCTTCTGGGTGCTAAATCATGTTTGACATTACATAATTTTTGAGGATGAGTTTGTGGTACATTATTAACTGTGGTGTTTGAGAGGTTTGAAAAGCTTTTGTTCTCTATAGACATTCTCTCATGCTTAACTTTGTTTTTATATTAAGCAACAGGTTGATTGTAGTTGCTGCAGTTTATCAAACCAAATTTGCATTGGCTTTGTCAGTAACAATGCAGGCTTTAAAGCAAGCATTAATTCCCATTGATTTTGACGTGCACAAATGGTGACTGAAGTATATTATGGTAGGTTTTTTTCCCTGAATCAATTTAAGTTTTTTAGGTTTTTTAACTAAGTTACAGAGCATTTCCTGATTTAAAAGGATTTGTGTTTTTTTTTTTTTAAAGAAAGCCTATTATAGTCACAAACCATAAATTGGTATCAAATCTTCTGCACCTGAAATGCTTTCTTAGATTTTAATAGCCGCAAGGTCACATAGTTGAATTCACCAACTTTATCAGAAATTAGGTGAAGAGACCTGAAAGTTGACAGGAAACCCTTGACTACAGGCTTTATCTTAAGATGACAAGCTTCTCTTTTGTCTTAAAGTGAAAAAATTTTGCAGTGTTTGGTTTTGCAGTATGCAGGAGACAACAGTCCAGTTCCTTGAAGCCCTTCCAGTAACACATACCTGCCATGGCCAGGGTGAATGACTGCTTTCTAACAGCAAAATATGCATATACATATTCACCTTTATCTTTCCAAGATACTACATATTCTGTAAGCAGGTTTTCCCCACAGACTCCTCTTACAAATTTTGTTTATACACTTTCTTTTCAGTAGTGGCAGCATCCATCTAAATGTTTCAAAAAAATGTGGCTTGCTTGAAGCACTGTGCTGCTCCCATCTCTTTTGGAGCCAAAATGCCCATATCTTCCAGTTTGAAACAGAAATGCAGAATTGGTACACTGTGGAAAAATTGCTTATTCTTCCTTTAGCTGTTCTTTTTCCTGGCTGTTTTCTTTTTTGCTTTGGTAGTGAAAGACAAAGAACCATGAAACTTACTGTGCATTTTGCTTGCTTTATCTCCTGTTTGTTGATAGTCCTGTATAGACTATTTCAGAATGTGTCGGTTGGTTGATGGTGGAATTCTTTCCAGTGGAAAATATAAATGAATTCAGATGATTTTAAAACTGAATGATTCTGATGTGTAATGTCATTAGGGTGAAAGGGTATATTTTAGTATGTTACATGATATTTATTGATAATGGTATTTGGCCTTTATTAAACCTATATCTTAAAAAGCTGAGACCTACCCTTTGGCCATTCTTGGTAGGAACTGGAATTGTCTTCCATCCATCCAGCTCTTTATCTGCCTCCATTTTTGGTCTCCCTTCTCTTTCTGTTTTCTTGATCAAAACAATTTCATGAATTCCTGAAAACAAACAGTATTACTCCTTATTTTGTAGAAAGAAGTAGATACAAAGGAGAGATCTGTTTTTGATATCCCAATCTTCACCGAAGAGTTCCTGAATCATAGTAAAGGTAAGTTAAACTTTTGCAGGGCCCGCTTTTTGCTTTTCCAAAGTGTTTGCCAGGTGCTGTCCAGCTGAAGGGTCCTGGCATTCTCCCATCTCAGCTCAGATAATGACTTGGGTATAGTTGATCAGTGTTTCTGATATTACCTTACCTCTGTATGAACACAGTGACTGCAACAGCAGTTTTTCCTGGCTTTGTCTTCCAAAACTATCCTTTTTGGAGAATGTTTCTGATGTTTAAGCTCCACTTGCTGTTATTCCAGCCAGTCCAAGCTGGACCTGCTGTTCTGTAGGATAAAGAAATACCGAAGATATAGCATGATGATGATTCAGGCTAGTTAGCAGTCTTATTTTTTTCCTCTGGATATGTGGAAGATTCCACTGATACATTTTCTGTTACTCTGTTTGGTTTTCATAGCTGCATGTCCCAAGAGTTCAGTATTTTTTGCAGATCTCCTGGAGACTTTTTTGACTGAACAGACTTCAGATTCAGATACTTTTCCTGATGATCAACAGAAATGTATTTTTGTAACTCGTATCTTGTCTGTAGGCCTCTTAACCACTGCTGCTAAGCTGTGTTGTACTGAATGCATTTGAAATCAGTCTTGTAGTCTTCCTTCCTAATCAATTCCCCTATTCATTTCCATTCTGATGCTTTGAATGTCTTCTAATTTGTCTATCTAGAAATTAAGTCTATTTAAGTACTACTGTAGGCACTGTCGGGATCCCATGATATGATGCTTTTTCATCTATAAACCAAAACTGCACCATTTGTAATTGTCAGTTGAGCACTCTAGAACATTCTGCTTCATTGCCTACCAATCATAGATACAGTTTTTTGACTACATGGGAATGGATTGATATTCACAGCACGTGAAGCTGAGCTGCGGCAGCTGCGTAAATCCAACATGGAGTTTGAGGAGAGGAATGCTGCTCTGCAGAAACATGTTGAGAGTATGCGTACTGCAGTGGAGAAATTGGAGGTGGATGTGATACAAGAGCGGAGCCGCAACACAGTGCTGCAACAGCATCTAGAGACCTTACGCCAAGCACTCACAACCAGCTTTGCTGGAGTCCCACTACCAGGTAAGACTTTTTTTTTTCCACTTATGACTGTCTGACATGTTAAATTGAACTTCTGATGTTTATATGACATTGTGAATTTACAACATGTGTCCTGCTCTTGTAGTTCTATGGTCTTGTCTGTTTCTGAGCTTTTGTTGTATTAGATAATGAAATCTTAAAAGGCATGCAGGGGAAGGTTTAGTGTCAGTGCTTTATTTCAGCATGGCATTTTTTTCTTACTACTTTTACTCTTCCTAATAAAGTGAGACACATATTCACTCCTTGCTCTCCTTTGCTTGTTTTGTGAAAATATTACTAAATAGAGAAGACAGGACCTGCAAGTGCCTTGATTAAAAGAAAGACTGCATCTGTATTGTCCGATGCCAGGGAATCCACTTAGATCCTATAAATGCCCAGCTGAAAGAGTTTATTATAATCAACTATGAGACCCAAATCAAAGAAAACCCATGCTTCATTAGTTCTGATACTCTTGGAACTACTCACTTTGTGCACTTAGGAGGACATTGTTTTACAGAATCTGTCACAAGAGGTGGTGCATGGCAAAATCACCTCCTATAGCAGTTCGCATGTTGGCACAAATTGCCCTTTGCATAGTCTTAACTCTTTGGAATTGCTGCAGTCATCTAAATATTCTGTGGCTCATTTTACTATAGGTAGCGGGGAAACACCCACGATGGAAACTATTGATTCCTACATGAATAGGCTGCACAGTATTATTATGGCTAACCCACAGGAGAATGAAAACCTCATAGCCACAGTCCGAGATGTGGTAAACAGACTTGAACGCTAGTGACTGGGTAAGTGCTCACTCTTAGGCTGCTTTTGTTTGGCATCTACTCTGTACCTCTGGCACTTGTTCTGACACTGATTCTTGTGCTGATCACCATATTGTACAATCAAAAAGTTTTCTTCCTCAGAGCCACGGGAGCAGGTTCGCTTAACGAAGGCCAAAAGGGGTTGAAAATATGCAACAGCATTAAAGGGTTCTGAAATTCCCCTTAGTTCCAAGGTCTTTTGTATAAAAACATAAATAGCTGATTGTCCTATTATTCATTGTATTTGTGTAAGGTGAATAAGAATACTGACAGAATGGTGTAAAAAAAGAAAGAAAAATTATTTATGTTTTAGTAACAGGGTCACTAATTCAGAAGAAGGTTCCTTTCTTGAGTGAAGTAAATCTGAAAAATTCTGCATTAATTGTAGAATCTGATGGTCACAGTGAAATTTTACTTGTCTCAAGAGGTTACAGGTGAACTCAACTCTGTTATAAACTGAAAATACCCTACAGCTACCTGCTCTGTAGTACCTGTAGTCAAGCTGGTCTGGTTTTGAAGGTTTATATGTCAATGAAGCACTGACATGTTGGTCAGGCTGTATGTAGCATTTGCTGAGACTCTAATGATCATGTGGCTTATGCATAGATTATTACTGAGCTCATGATTCTGTATTTTTGCTTCTGTTTAACAGCTTAGAAAACTAATAGGCAACTGAGTAGAAAAAACAAATCAACAAAAAAATACCAGTCTTTCTGCATTACTGTGCTTTGCATTTCCCACACCACTTACTCCCCCATTTCCCCCATGATGCACAGCACTAGGCAGCCATTAGAAGTTTGCCTACTTCTGTTTTAGCTATGTACATACCTGCATTCTTTAGGCATTTATTGTGTAGAGATCTACTGTACATGTCTTGAATAATTTTTAGAAATGCAAATAAAGCTTCATTGTGCCATCTGCAAATATGAAGACAGGGCTTTTCATCCTTTCAGATTCTGACCTTTTGTGATACTTGTAGAACAGTTAATTACACGTTCCCCATTATAGTGAGGCTTAAGCTAAAAGATCATTGTCCTTCCAGAGGGTAGCCAGATGGAACAGACTATAGTTCTAAGAGATGACTGAGCTCCCAGCAGAATAAAGAAGTGCCTTTACTGCTGCTATTTATGAAGGGAACAGCTTGTCGATCCAGGTCTGGGATTTTTCAGTAGCTCATCAACCTCCTCATTTTGGTATACTGTTTTCAATTAGCGCTCAAGCTCAGAAAGAATTGGGGGATGGGGAGGTTTTACAGAATGTATAAGAGGGAAAGCAGTTACTCATCAATCAGTTACTAGAAGGGCATGCCAGGCCCTGAAACAGATGTTTGTCCTTTAAGCACCTTGCCAGAAAAATCGTATCTCAAGGCTACTAAAATCTAGACTTTGGTTCTCGTGTCAGGCAGATTCATATTTCCTAAATGATGGACAATTTCTGTGTTCCTAAAAACATAAATATTTTTTTCTTGGATAAACTGGATTCAGCAATAATTGGTTTGGAAAAAATAATTCTTGCTTTAAAATTCTTCTTCCTTCCACTTTATAGTTGAAAAATAGGACTCCGTTCCCTTCTTTCCCCTCCCACCAATACCTTCCCTCTTTTCAGCAGCAAAACAGTGTGAGGCAATTAAAAACATGATTAATCATCACCTAGTTTCATTATACAAAGACATGCATGTAACTGGATATAATGATCAAGTAATTCATAGGGCTATTAATTACATTGACATTCACTTGGCAATGATTATAGTTTGTGACAAAATCCTAGAGGGGAGAAGGTTGGGCTTTACTGGATGTAAACCTAGAAAAAAAAATAGAGCTTCCCTAGGAAAGAGGGAAGCTTTGGATAGAAAGGTTTGGCTAGCATTTGATAAACTGTATCAGCAAACTGTCATCATCACCATCCCTTTGTTAACATGCATATGAAATATATTTATTCTCCTAAATGTAATCTCTATCAACCAAATGTGTCTCAACCTCAAACAGACTATTACAAATCAATTTAATAGAAAAATCTATTTATGATGATACTCTTGAAAACCACTGTCCTTCACAGAACTGGGGTGTTTTTGGTGTCTTAGTATGTTGTATTTAGTGTCTATTTGGCTATACTAGTGAATGTTTTTGGTTTTCTGTACTGCATGGTAAAGAGGACTTCTCTGTGTGAACAGTATATAGGGGAGAAGAGGAAGGTTTTTTTGTTATTTAGCACTCTGTTCTTTGGATGGAATACAGTTACAGTTCTGTCTCTATAGGCTTCTTTGCTATACTTCTTAATATTGTGTTTTCAGATAAATCATCCAAAAAATAATGTCACGGTGCCTATTTAGTCTTGGCAGATTGTAGTCTTCTAACACTTATTTTTCTGTTTCGTCTGCAGGTCTCGTGACCCAGGGATGCTTTACAAAATTTTTTTTGGCCAGTGTGGAATAAGAAGCCATGAGGGAAAGACTAGGGGTGGGAGGCAGAATTGCAGGTTTGTCCTGGTCCCTGCCTTTGTGGTTTGTCAGTGAGACAAACAGATCAATGCATTAAAAGGTCTTAAGAAGCCACGGACACCACCTGCTAAACATTTGGAACTGTCCTCTGTGTAAACATTTAAGAGCATGCAACTTCTGTGCAATCTTCAGTTTCTTATTAATTTTGCTGGGTGTGAGGGTGCATACGTTCCGTGGACTGGCTGACTATGGAGATGAAATCTCGCAGTTTGTGAAATGAAGTCAACCTACGTGTTGTAGTAATAACTTTGATGTGTTATATTGCCTAATGTCTTCTAGTGTCTTTTATTTTGTTTTCATGTTTATCTTGTGGGATTACCTTCCTCCATTTTAGTTTTCTTCTTTTGATCTTGTTATCTGTTACTTGCAGTACTGGATAGCAGCGTTTGTGTTCTCTGCTATAACAGGTGGTCTTCCTTGGTGCCCTGTCTTGTCCTACCCTGCCTGCTATGTTTATATAAGCTTTTCTTAAGCAGAATCCTGTTTTTTTGTGTTAGCCTGCAACTTGTACAATGTGAGTTTGCTCCCTGCTAGAGACTGGCTGTGGTTGATGCTTTGTGACTTGATTCTACTATGAGACAGACTTCCTCTCTCCCTCTTCTCTTCAAGCACCTCTCTTGTACATAGCATCCTGCTCTTCTATGAAGGTCTCCTGTTATCTCTTGAAAATGTTTGCTGGAGCATTTTACTACCGCAAAGGTCAGTGGTAATCAAGATAGAAAGTGAAACGTTAGTCCTTCTCAGCAGGGAAAATAGGAATCTCCATTTTAGACTAAAACCACAAAGCTGGCCCTTCCTCTGGTACGTTGCTCAGTCTAATTTAATGTTACTGCCTTGTTTTTGAGAGAATGATCTCATGGTGAGAGAGGTATTCTATAAAAAGAGAAATGGGCAGGGGGAATGCATTTTTTTTCTGCCCTCCTGAAATCACAGTGCTGGGAAGCAATAAGCCTGGAAGCAGCACATGTATTTTTGCATGAATTATTAGAGCAGAGAAGGTTATTAGCTGCTAGGTCCACAGAGCAACCCACAGAATTTTACATTACAGCACGTAAGTGCTTTCACTTTTTGTATAGTTAAAGTATAGCCTGTGGAGCCTATAGCATTCAGTGTATTATGTTCCAGTGTGACCTAAATGGCCTTTCACTTACATCAAGTAGAACTCTGCATGCTAGAGTCTGTAATCTTGCTGAGCTACGCTGCACCTCCTGTCAAAGATGAAGGCACCTACTGTCTGCACTAACTTATGCAAATGATTTGCTGCCCTTTGGTTCCTGTCAAATTGTTAATTCAGACTTTGGCTGAGCACTTGTTGGACATCTCTGGGTTTTATGGTAGTGGTTGAAATGCTCTTTCTTCCACATGACAATCTCCTTGCTCCTCCTTAAGAAATCTTTAAGATTTCCCTATTATGAATTGGAGATTGCTTTCATTACTAGAGTGCATTGCAGTCAGCATCACTTTAATGTATCTGTAATGTAAGTATTTGAAGATTAAAAAGCAGTTTCTTCTTTTCCCACGCTGTACACATGGACTTCATGCTTGCCTGAAGCCATCTCCAGGTCAACACCTTGTATGTCAGCTCTCCTCTTACTCATGGGCTTATTGCTGTAGCCAAGCAGCAAGGATTTCCATGTAAATTCAAGTCTTCCTTCAGGGAGGAAACTCCTTTCTCTTGTCCTCAGTCTCATTTTCAAGACTTCACAAAAAGGAACCTCAATTTGCTGCATTGACCTTCATTTTCCTTAACATGGATGAGACCAACTGATGTTGGCATGAACTTTTTTAGTGGATTTTATAACAAATATTGTGTGGGGAAAAAATCCTACAGGTTAATAATGTCTTCAGAAGAAGCACCAATACCTTCATCTCCTGTGCGTATCTTGTTTTTTAGGATTTGACTTGATATTTGACTTTTATTGAAGTGGCCAAAATGCACTGCATAGCCAAAAGTTGATTTACAAAATTCTAAAGTTCAGTCTGTGGCATCTTACCTAATACCTGGAGTTGTATCCCATGAAGACTCCAGAAATTGCTATGTAATATGATAGTAAGATGCAGTTCCACAGTGACATACACATACTGTAAATAAGGTATGGGTGGCTGCAGGCTGCCCCTGCTTACGTAAATTCAATGCAGCTATCAGCTCGTGGCATACTGCTAATACATCATTCTGTTGAGTAGCATGAGAGTGTTACGGGACAGGAAATTTAAGGTGATATTATTAGCTGGGGGCTAACAAATCTTTTGCTCTTTCCTGCAAGGAAAGAGAGGAGGTGGTATACCCATCTTAAAGCATCTGGGGGAAGAATAAGTTCTTGCTCACCAATGATGTGACAGATGATGTTTTGTCTCATTAAGAAGCTTCTTATTTACATTGATTAACCCTTAAAAATGGATTTTGTCTTTCCAGTGTTTTCTGAGTGTCACTTCAGTTCACACTTTTCAATGTTGGCTGATAAAAAAAAAAAAAATGAG